GCCAAGCCCAGTGGCTCACACCTCTAAAAACAGCCGAGTGTTGTGGCGGACACCTGTAATCCCAGATAGTCTGGAGGCTGAGGCAAGAGAATTGCTTGAGCCCAAGAGTTTGAGGTTGCTGTGAGCTGTGATACTATGGGACCACACTAAGGGTAACAAAGTAAGACTCTGTCTCAAAAAAAATAAAAAAAAAAAAAGAAAGGAGGACGTTAAACTATCCTTTTTGTACAGAGAAAAACCTAAAAATTTTACCAAAAAAACTTGTTAGAACTGATAAAGGAATTCAGTAAAGTTTCAGCATACAAAATCAACAACAAAAATCGATAGCACTTTTATATACCAATAATGAACTAGCTGAAAGAGAAATCAAGAAAGCAATCCTATTTATAATAGCTACAAAAAAAAAATCTAGGAATAAATTTAACGAAGGCAGTGAAAGACCTCTATGATGAAAACTATAAAACACTGGTTTAAAAATAAAACAAACTGAAGAGAACAAAAACAAATGGAAAGACATCCCTTGCCAGTGGATGAAAGGAATTAACACTGTTAAAATTACCATACTGCCTTGGTAAAATTACCATAAAGCAATTTACAGATTCAATGCAATTCCTATCAAAATACCAATGACATTCTTCACAGAAATAGAAAAAAAACTCCTAAAACTATTATGGAAGCACAAAGGGCCTCAAATAGCCAAAGTAATCCTAAGCAAAAAGAATACAGCTGGAGGCATCACATCACCTGACTTCAGAATATACTACTAAGCTATAACCAAAACAACATGTTATTGGTATAAAAACAGACACAGAGACCAATGGAACTGAAACAGGATGGTCTTTCAATGAAGGTGCCAAAAACATACATGGGTGGGGATGGGGTGAGCAGGAGGACACCCTCTTTAATCAATGGTACTGGGAAAACTGGATGTCCACATGTAGAAAAGTAAAACTAGACCCCTATCTCTCAACACACAAAAATCAACTCAAAACGGATTAAAGACTTAAACATAATACCCAAAACTATAAAACTACTAGGAGAAAACATAAGGAAAACACTTCAGGCCATTGGTCTACTGAGACTCCAGGCAAGGACTTTATGGCTAACACTTCAAAAGCACA